TCCATACTTACAAAGCCTCTGAAAACAGAGAAGCCCAGGGCTCCAATCAAGAGAAGTGAAAGGACGAGGTCGACCGGTCTGAACAACAGACTTTTCTTCTGCTCAGCTGCGATCTGTCAAAGAACACAAGGTTAGACTAGCCAAACAGAATTTACTCAACAAACAAAGCAACATTTTTCTCTACAAGTCTTTAAAATAACGTGGTAATATTTCTACTTTCTTAATTTGAATGTATTTTATCTAAGGACTTATCTAATCTGTGATACCTTGCTATTTCCAATTACTTATAAGAGACAATGAAATGACAGCCCTACAAGACACTGCAGCAGCCCACAGGACATGTTCACCTCCAGTTTCTACTCAAATAAATTGACCATTAAATCCAGTGTCATGTCCTTGTCAAGGGAAATTAAGAACATGTTGAGAACATTTTGCCCTACATTTGTGCCCTAGCCATTCATTTCCGCTGCTGCTTAAAACCCCTGTACTCAAATATTTAAAGGAGTGTTAATATGTATTAGAGGATATTTTACTATTTTAACTGTACCTTGTCTGCTGTGACGATGGGCATTTCCCTGGGTCTGCTGAAGAGCATGGCAGCCGCCCAGAAAGGCAACAGGAAGAAGGGGGCGTTCCCCCAAAAGATTGGACGAATGTTTGATCCGTATTTACCTGCATTAACCACAGCACTAATAAATGACACACAGTGACAACAAATGCTGACTCTCTGCAAATTAATACGGTATTTTGATGTCAAAATGGAATGTTAGTATCATGACTCTAAATGGAACTGTACCTCTGCAACTATGGCAAAGGTTTAAAAGAGAAATAGAAAAAATAAACTCAGTCATTGAAAATGGTACTTAAGGAGTCTCACCAACAACCACTCCTGGAATTAGAACAATTTGATGAGCGATGGTGGAGCCTGCCCAGAGCAAGCCCAGGTTTCGGTAAGACTTCCTGCACACACAGAAATCAACTAAATTAATTTCGAGGTGTTGACATATGACAGACAGGGGTGTCGTGAACCCACAGCTTACCCTGCAAACATACGGTGGATGATAATTAGGAGGAGGAGAAAGTGGACCACGCCCTCCCAGTAGGACATCATCACAGCGTAGGCGGTGCTCAGATGAGGTTCACCCTGAACAAACAACATCATATGATGAAGTTGATTGTAACTTTCAACATGAGACGAGAGTCTTTTAGAGGCTTAAACGTCTCATTACCTTTAAATAGAAGCCCATGAAACCAGAAATAAAGCCGTCGTGCTCTAAGGCGTTGGTCAGACCCACCAGGCAGGTGGACGAAAACATTGCAAACACTGAGGACAAACACAGTGCATGACGATGATGATATTTTGATTCACAGGCATTTTAATCCAAGCAACACAGTTTATGAAAATACTAAATAACATTTTGGGTAAAAGCTAAATGTTTGCTTAAAACAATAGTTCACAGATTTCTTCATAGAAGGTAGTGTAAAATAGAAACATTAGATGCCTTCCTAAATATACAGTCATGGCTCAATGTAAAGTCAAATATTATTAATATAATTGTAAGCCAAAATTAGCTAAAGCATTTTAGGTAGAAATACTGGTTATTGCTGTACCGTAGAATAAAGGGTCGACTTTCTTCTTGTGCTGCACAGAGAGATGGGAGAGGACGAGCACCGACCACAGGATGACCACCTCCATAACCAGGACTGGCTGAGGTCTGAAGGCCAGAGGTCAGTCATTAGTGTGCGCCACATATATATATATATATATATATATGAAATCAAAATATATTAATCATACACACAAACCCACTGTAGCATCAGTAGTATACAGTAGGTATCCAGGAGTCACAAAAACAGTTACGTAAGCAGCAACAAACAAGAAGATAAACAATAAAGATAAAGCTTCAGTGATGAATTACGTCATAGTCTAAAGATAAAACCAAAGCCTTTAAAAAGTGTTTAAAAAAGTCTTCTTTTACCATTTAATTAATCTAAAATATAATGTTCAAACACTGTGTGTTGTCTTACGTGAGCGTGTCATTAAACCACTAATCTGTATGGTCGACTTCGCAGAGCAGATGCAGGCCCATTACACACAGACAGACTCACTCCTTAAAAGCAGGTTTGCTGTTCATGGCGTAGAAAAGAGGAGGCACCAGGAGGGAGAAGAGGAACACAGACACCTCCACCGGTGGCAACATCACGGCTGTAGGAAACTCAAAGAAACGAAGGAGAAATGTCCAAACGGGGTCTTCAACGTGTCATGCTGCAGAGAGTAGCGTCCTCTTCAACACTGCTCATTTAAAGGAGTGTCAGCCTTTAACTTTTGATCTGTGATGAAAGCACACACTGCACTGTCTGCTATCTGCTTCCAGGGTTCAAAGGTCAACTTTGTAGCTTGGTCTGCAGACTACGGATTTAAAGGGAAAACGTGTAAAATTTGGCAGAGCAACTGAGCTGTTTGGATACAATGCTACGTTTTAGCACCTTCTTGTTAAGTGGATTTAAATTTTGATTGAATTTTCTTACAAGCGACTTCTGGTCACATCCGCTTATAACACTCATTTACATGCTACACTGCCCTCTACTGGACATAGTTTACTGTTCTTGGTAGGAGGCTTGTGACATGTAAAGTATGGTCCTTGGATTTTGTGACGAGAAAATAACACAGCGTGACAATGTTGTCAATTTAAAACTTAATTCAAGTACATTATCAACTTTAATGGAAGAGGAGGACGTTTTTTGAATATCCAAATTATGAAATTGAGGTCAAAACACAATGAAAGGGTCTGAATTCTGATATGTACTTCATGATTATATAATAATAATAATAATAATGTGTTGTTATTGTGATTGTTTTTGTAATTATTATTATCATTTTATTATAGTCGTCCTGAGAGTTCATCTTTGAAATAAAAGATTGTCTCCCCGTCGGGGAATTGAACCCCGGTCTCCCGCGTGACAGGCGGGGATACTCACCACTATACTAACGAGGAGCTGTGTTGTAAGCTTAAAATACTTAAATGCTGTCTTGATCAACTTGTTATTATTATTATTGTTATTATTA